AGTTAAAGCACAGGAGAGACATCAGGACTAGTAACAGAAATGTCTGCATTATAGGTTATCTGGAAGAAACTGAAGACCCCTGAGCCTTAAGAGTCTGAAAGATTTGAACCAGGACACTGGGGAAGAGAAAGAGCAGTGGGAAAGGGGGATCCGGAGGAAAAGGGATAACAATAAAACCTCCGACCATTTTCTTGCTAAGCTATGGTGTGGCCATGTGCTCTTTGAGCTGTGGCCAGGCCATGTTTCCTGGCTTTGACCCCTCCCCTACCTTGAGGAAGAGAATCTCCTCTCTCTAGTTTCTTTCGTCTCTCTTTCTATCTCTCAAATTTAGTTTTTAAGTAAACTGTATTTTCTAATTTTAAAAAAGATCCAACACCTGTGAGAGGGAGACTGTGTATTGGTAAGAGACTAAATAGATTTTAGACCATTCTCACGACTTCATGTGTCCATGATCAGACAACTGGAAGACTTTCTGATTACGGGCTGTGCCTCTGCACACTCCCAAACGGTTAGCGACATGTATGAGAAGTTAATATATAAGAGCCTATCTGAAGTGAGCTTTCTGGGGGGTTACAAGTGCTAACTTTCACAGCAAATCCCCAAGTGCCAAACAGGTCCCATATCCTTGCCCTTTTCTGGACTTTTCCTGCTTGAATAACTCTACACTTGAATAACTCCTGTTTATCTTCAGAGTTACCCAAGCGTCACCACCTCAAAGATGTCTTCATAGAAACCCCCTCCCCTTTCCATCAAATCATATGCCTCCTCATCTCAGACATTCATAACACTAACCTTTTTTTCCTTCACTGTATTTCCCATGGATTGATACTATACAGTCAGGGTAGCACTGCTTAACAATGGAGATATGTTATGAGAAATGCATCGTTAGGCAATTTTCTCATCATGCGACCATCATAGAGTGTACTTAACACAAATCTAGATGGTATAGCCTACTACATGCCTAAGCTATATGGGATAGCCTATCGTTCCTAGGCTAAAGCTGTACAACATGTTAATGTACTGAATACCATGGACGTGTCTACGGCCATACCATCCTGAACATGCCTGATCTTGTCTAAGTATTGTGGACAACTATAACACAATGGTATTTGTGCATCTAAACATTCCTAAACATTGAAAAGGTAATGCACTGTGCCACACTGTTACAATGCCTAGGATGCTAGGGAATAGGAATTTTCCGGCTTCTTTATAATCTTATGGGACCACCCTTGTATATGTGGTACATCGTTGACCAAAACATAACTATGTGGCAGATGACTGTATATCATTCTGAACTATTTCTTTCATGTTTATCTATTCCAGGAGGACAGAGGCAATCTGTTTTTCTCACCACAGATCTTAGTACCTGGCCTAGCACATGGCAACAAAAAAATGTCTTACTTTATTTTATTGCACTTTGCAGATACTGCATTTTTTGCAAATTTAAGATTTGTGCCAACCCTGTGTAGAGCATGTCTATCAGCGCCATTTTTTCCAACAGCATGGGTTTACTTCCTAACTATCCTGTGTCATATTTTGGTAATTTTTGCAATATTTCAAACTTTATTATTATTATTATATGTGCTCAGTGATCTTTGATTTTAATTTTTTTTTTTTAGTTGAAGTCTCACTCCGTCACCCAGGCTGGAGTGCAGTGGCATACTCACAGTCACCCCAGCGTTGATGTGCTGGGCTCTGGTGATCCTTCCACCTCGACCTTCCAAATAACCGGAACTACAGGTGCACACTACCACACCCAGCTAATTTTTGATTTATTGTAGAGACGAGGTCTCGCCAAGTTACCTGGCTGGTCTCGAAAACCCGTGGACTCAGGCAATCCACTCACCTCAGCCTCCCAAAGTTCTGGGATTATAGGCTGAGCCACCAAGCCCGGCCTGATTTTAATATTATAACTGTTTTGAAAAGCTACAAATTGTGCTCCTAAAAGACAGCAAAATTAATCAATAAATGTATGTGTTCTGCCTTCTCCACTGACTGGCCATTCCACCATATTCTCTGAAACACAACAATATTGAAGTCAGGCCAACGATAACCCTACAATGGAATCTAAGTGTCCAGGTGGAAAGAAGAGTCACACATCTCTCACTTTAAATAAAAAACTAGAAATGATTTATGAGGAAGGCACATCAAAAGCCAAATAGACTGAAAGCTAGGAGTCTTGTGGAAAATGTTTGTGATTGCAAAGGAAAATTTATTGAATGAAATTAAAAGTGCTACTCCAGGGAATACATACACGATAAGAAAGCGAAACAGCCTTGTTTCTGATATGGAGAAAGTTTGAGTGGTCTGGATGGAAGATCAAACCAGCCATGACATTCCCTTAAGCCAAAGTCTAATCTGGAGCATGGCCCTAACTCTCTTCCATCCTGTGAAGGTTGAGAGAGGTAAGGAAGCTACTGAAAGAAAGAAACTAGCAGAGGTTTGTTCATGAGGTTTGAGGAAAGAAGCCATCTCCATAACATACAAGTGCAAGGTGAAGCAGCAAGTGCTAATGGAGAAGCTGTAGCAAGTTTTTCAGAAGATCTAGCAAAGATAAATGTGGCTGCACTAAGCAACAGATTTTCAATGTAGATAAAACAGTCTTATATTGAAAGAAGATACCATCTAGGAACTTCATAGCTAGAGAGAAGCCAATGCCTGACTTTAGAGAACAGACTGACTCTCTTGTTAGGGGCTAATACAGCTGATGACTTTAAATTGAAGCCAGTGCTCATTGACCTTTCTGAAAATCCTAGGTCCCTTAAATTTACTCTGCCTATGGTTTACAAATGGAACAACAAAGCCTAGATGACAGCATCGCTTACTGAATATTTTAAGCCCATTGTTGAGACCTACTGCTCAGAAAAAAGATTCCTTTCAAAATATTACAGCTCATGGGCAATGCACCTGGTCACCCAAGAGCTCTGATGGGGATGTACAAGGAGATGAATGTTGTTTTCATGCCTGGTAACACAACATTTATTCTGCAGCCCATGGATCAAGGAGTGATTTCTACATTCAAGTCTTACGACTTAAGAACTACATTTTGTAAGGCTATAAATGCCATAGATAGTGATTCTTCTCATGATTCCGGGCAAAGTAAATTGAAAACATTTGGAAAAGGATTCACCATTCTAGATTCCATTAAGAACATTTGTGATTCATGGGAGGTGGTCAAAATGTCAACATGAACAGGAGTTTGGAAGAAGTGGATTGCAAGATGACTTTGAGGGATATGACAGAATTGCTGCAATCTCATGATAAAACTTGAATGAATGAAGAGTTGCTTCTTATGAATGCACAAGGAAAGTGGTTTGTTTCTTTCTTTCTTTCTTTCTTTCTTTCTTTCTTTCTTTCTTTCTTTCTTTCTTTCTTTCAATAGGAGTCTAACTCTGTCACCCAGACTGGAGGGCAGTGGCATGCTCCCAGCCACCGGAGCCTTGACCTGCTGGACTCATGCGATCCTTCTGCCTCAGCCTTCCAAGAAGCTGGAGCTACAGGCACATGCCACCTCACCAAGTTGGCCAGGCTGGTCTCCAACCCATGGGCTCCGGTAATCCTCTCACCTCAGCCTCCCAAAATGCTGGGATTATAGGCGTGAGCCACCACGACCAGCCTAGAAGGTGGTTTCTTGAGATGACATCTACTCCTGGTGAAGATGCTGTGAACATTGTTTAAATGATAGCAAAGGATTTAGAATACCACATAAACTTAGTTAATAAAGCAGAGGCAGGATTGGAAAGGATTGACACCAATTTTGAAAGAAATTCTACTCTTAGGAAAATGCTGTCAAACAGTATCACAAACTAGGGATAGAGCTTTTGTGAAAGGAAATTCAATCAATGCAGAAAATTCCATTTTTATCTTATTTTGAGAAATATCCGCAGCCACCCCAGCCTTTAGAACCACCACCCTGATCAGTCAGCAGCCATTAAGAGCCCCCCCACCAGCAAAAAAGTATGATCCAATAAAGGCTCAAATTTCATCATTATCATTTTTTTCGCAATAAGATATTTTAAATGAAAGAATGTACATTGTCTTTTAGTCATAATGCTTTTGCACACTTAATAGACTACACTATAGTGTAAACATAACATTTTTTTCTTGAGTTAGAGTCTCACACCTTCACCCAGGCTGGCTGGAGTGCAGTGGCACACTCACTGCCACCCCAGCGTCCACCCACTGGGCTCCGGCGATCCTTCCGTGTCAGCCTTCCAAGTAGCCAGAACTACAGGCCGTTCTACCACTCCCGGCTAATTTTTGATTTATTGTAGAGACAAGGCCTCGCCAAGTTGCCCGGGCTGGTCTCTAATCCGCGGGCTCAGGCAATCCACTCGCCTCAGCCTCTCAAAGTGCTGGAATTACAGGCTGAGCCACCAAGCCCGGCCTAAACATAACCTCAATATGCACTGTGAAATCACAAAATTCGTGTGACTCACTTTATGTTATGGCAATATTCCCTTTATTGCTGTGGTCTAGAATGGAACCTGCAATAGCTCCACGGTGTGCCTGAAACTCCCACTGGAGGTCAAAAATCAATGACCCCCATGTGATCTCCCCCGGTGGCCTTTGACACTGTCTGCCCCGGTGCACAATGGCTAACCCCTGGTGAGAATTTAAGGAGCGCGTGTTTGACATGCAGTCATCATTCTGACCACCAGAGGTCTCTTTCTCCACACCATTGGGCCCGAAAGAACTTGCTCGCATGTGTATGGTTCTGACTCTCAAGCCTAGCTGCTCAGAGTGTGATTGTGGCATTGCATCTGTATCACCTGGGAGCTTGTCAGAAAAGGAGAATCTCAGGCCTCGCCTGACACTAGCTGAATCAGAATCTGCATTTTTAGTAAGATCCCCAGGGGATCTGTATACACATTAAATACTGAGAGTGTTGTTGTACGGGACCTTTTTAATCTAAACTTGAGAAAAACCTCTCCTATAAATGGCCTTATGCACACAGGACGTTTCTATCACATGTACAGAAGGACTCAGAAAGAGGTTTAGAGTTTGTTTGCTTTTATTATGAATGTAAAATATACATACAACACAATAAACATTTACACATTTACATTTCACATGACCTCTTGTCTTTTTTGAGCAAATTCAATTCTGTGTGGCCCAGTTGGCCGTTCCTTCCACCGTCCCGCGCTTACATTCATGACGTCCTCTTCACCTTGGTTCCTTGTGTGACTCCGTTAAAAAAGAAAAGAAAAGAAACCAGCCCAGGGGCTAAAATGGCTGACTTCACTGTCCTTTCCCACAGAATCACTTTCATTCCTCGTGTCCTTTCCTGTCCCTACATGCCTTCCCTTGCTTCATTCAAACTTCAGCTTTAAAAATTCCGGAGCAAACAGGGCTGCCGAGATCGCCTTTGTCTTTTAAAAACACCTTGAACTAGCTTACACGCATGAGGGGACACATAAAGACCACTGCTCACTCCCCTGGCGTGAAACCCAGCTCTGGGAAGACTCCAAAAACAACATGGACAAATGAAGCTTGGCTCACCAGACAGATGGATGATCACGAAGGTCTGAATATCAGGCTCGTGGAAGTTAATTAATACATAAACTGGAATACATAAAAATAAACAGAGTGAGTTTCACTAAAGGAAATGTAAATCCCTCTAACCCTGTGCTTTTCGAAACTTCGTTAGGTATGTCTTAACACGCGGATAAGCAGAAACTAGACGGTGTGGCTCCTTGCTCTTCTCTGGGGCCGTGCCTTCAAAATGCCAGTGAACTGATGAGAGAGTCTGTGTTTCCCTCAGAAGGTAGCTATGCGAGAGGTTTTGTAGGCAGTCTCTTGCAAGCTGTCGAATATGGCTTTGGTTCCGTTCTGCCAGTGCAGCACCAGATCCATCGGGGTCTTCCCAGCCTAATCAAAAGAGAAGAGGACACTTGACTTCCAGGTGGGAGACATCTGTAAATTCCCATCGTGTGTGTGTGTGTGTGTGTGTGTGTGTGTGTGTGTGTTTCATGAGGTAAGGGACAGGTGTTTTATGGTTTCTACTATGAGTGGTTTGCAGTTGATATTCAAACCAGCCCTTTACAGTTTCTCACAGAGATGCATTTGGCATTTGAGATTAACAATTTTTTCTCCCAGGTATTGACAAAATCCCTGGTGCTTACACACCAAGTGTCAAGAGCCCCTCAAGTCATCTTGAAATTTTAAAACGCAGCTGGGCTCGGTGGCTCAGCCTGTAATCCCACGCCTTTGAGAGCCTGAGGTGAGTGGATTGCCTGAGCCTGCGGGTTCGAGACCCACCTGGGCAGCGAGACCTCATCTCTACAATAGATCAAAAAATCAGCCAGGCGTGGTAGCGCATGCCTGTAATTCCAGCTACTTGGAAGGCTGAGGCGGAAGGATCGCCAGAGCCCAGCAGGTCGAGGCTGCGGTGGCCGGGAGCGGCCACTGCACTCCAGTCTGGCCGACAGAGTGAGACTCCAACTCAAAAAAAAAAAAAAAGAAAATTTAAAACGCCTCTGTACTTCTCTCTAGTATCCGTGGAATGGGCTTCTGAAGGTGGAGGTATCCCTTTTTTTATTCTTATTTGGGGAGGCGGTTACAGGGGTCAGTACACCCAGAATGTTACTGCTCCTGGGTACCGTTTTCATAACATCACAGAATTTACATTGGGCTTTCCCAGGAAATTTATTTTTCTTGGAGTTAACATTAGTGGCATGTGTGAATAAATAATTTTTGAGACCAAATTTTGGTTTTCCTTACACACATGTGTCAAGAGATTTAAAAATATTAAAACCACATCACTTCTCAATTCTTATCTATAGATAAAAAAAGTTCTAAATGTTTCCTTCTCTATTTTTTTAGAGTATCTCTTTAACCCAGAAATTACAAACTGGCAGTTTTGGGAGGAAAATCAGTCTAGAGACCTGTTTTGTTTGGGTCCAAACAAAACTTAGAACTTTTTAAAGACTAGAATGAATTGGCAACAGTTGAAAATCAAGAAATTTCCCAACTGAATTTGTGAGCTCTATGAAAAAACCAGAAGAGTTAGCAACAAGGTACCTATGGTTCCACAGAGCAAAATGGACTGGGTTGGGGAAGGGCTGCCATCTTTAAAAGAGTTGTGTGCATAAACGCCAGCAGTGGATTCATTTATGTGATCTTCCTAATACCTGTGAGTATTTGAGCTAGTGGCCCTGTAACCCCCTTTGGAACTTCTCTGCCTTTCTGTAGTATCTTTCTTCAGGAACACCCATCATTAGATATGTATACAGGGTTCTAGACAATGATAGAGTATTGTATGTTGTTTCCAATCTCCTTCAAGATGACATTGGTCTTCTTATCAATGCAGCCAATGAACTAAAATTAATCAATATCCAATCTGAGTAATTCAGAATGAACACTTCCTCCTTTACAACAATGTGAAATGTCACCACTTTCTTCCAGGGATAGCCATGCTTTTGCTTATACTTTTAATATAATCTCCATTCATTTTCCACTCGGGTTTTTCTGCACATCTCTCAAAATAATTTCCTATATGTAGACCCTGAGAGTTCTTGTATAAGTACATATTAATTTAACTTCAGCTATAAGCAGGGAACATATAGCTTATTGGTCTTTTGGGGGAACATCAATCCACTGGGTTAGTGACATAATAGTTCCAGAACCCTTATGCTGAGGTCTAATTGATCATTCAAAGCCATGAGTCCTGCTTGTATATTTTAGGCTATTCTTCCATAAATTCATTGCACTCCTCTCTACTAAAATGTATCTCCTGATTTTCTGGCTATTGGCACAGTCTCCCTAAATCTATGTGCTATTTATCTTTGCTGGCAGTGGCTCACTGCCTGGAAAAAAAAAATCTTCATATTTTCTGCAGCTCTGGAGATTTCACTGGATTTACTCTTTTTTTCTGATCATTTAAAAAATTATTAGATAAAACCAATCTCAATATCAACATGAGAGAACCCTACTGTTAACATTTTTCCATCCCAAACAATCTTCATCTGTCATCATTCTTTCTTCCTGTCACTAAACCACATTTTTTTAAATGATAAAATATTCCAGTCTCAGTAACACAAATAAGGGAAAAATTGATAAGATGATTGTTGGTTTTTTCTTCCCTTTGTTGTAAAGTCATTCTGCAAAAGCATCGTCAAGATTATTTTTTCACTCATTTAAACCCGTTCTGGGTGATATTTTTAAAGCTTATATTAGATGATATTTGTCTGGGAATTGAGACCATGAGGAAAAGTTAGTTACATTCCCTGCTTACAAATGAAGTTAAATTAATATGTACTTATACAAGAATTTCCAGGGCCTAAATATAGGAAATTATTTTGAGAGATGCGCAGAAAAACCCATGAAGAGAATGGATAGAAATTTCCTTAAAGATATAGGCAAAAGCACGGCTACCCTGGAAGAAAGTGGTGACATTTCATATTGTGGTAAGAGGGAGGAGGAGGGGCCATTCTGAGTTACTCAGATTGGATATTGATTAATTTTAGTTCATAGACTGACCACTGTGGAATTTTAGACCATGTCAGAAATGGTGAGTGTCTCTACTCCTATCCACCCCAGGCCTTGCACACATAAGAATGGCCAAGGCAGAATGGACTTCTCCAACATAGGTGTTTCGAAAGGCGTTTCAAACAATTTTGACCATCTTTTCTTTTCTTTTCTTTTTCTTTCTTTCTTTTTCTTTTTTTTTTTTGAGCTGGAGTTTCATCTGTCGCTCAGGCTGGGGTACAGTGGCACACTCATGACCACCCCAGCGTCGACCGGCTGGGCTCCAGGGATCCTTCCACCTCAGCCTTCCAAGTAGCTGGAACTACAGGCACGCTCTACCATGCCCAACCAATTTTTTATTTATGGTAGAGATGAGATCTCGCCAAGTTGCCCGGGGCTGGTCTTGAGCCCTCAGGCTCAGGCAATCCACTCGTCTCAGCCTCCCAAAGTGCTGGGATTACAGGCTGAGCCACAGAGCCCGGTCGACCATCTTTTATTTTCAAGACCAAATGCCAAAATAATTATCAGGCACTGTATCAGACACTGAGGTCACAGCAGTAATTAGGACTTCTCCCATCTCTGGCCATGTGACCTGAGTCCTAGCCAAGGTTAATGGAGTCCTTAAGGAAAACAACCAGGAGCACTTAAACTGTCAGAAGACCCCCAATATACTACCATTGTGGGACTCTTTTTCTCATATTTAATAAGTGCTTCGAAATTAGAAAGCTCACAACAGTGCCCCTCGCTTTCAGTACTTACACAGTTCTTGATGTTGAGGTCTGCGCCATACATGATCAGAAGTCGAATCATCTTGTAACGATTCAGTCTCACCGCGTCATGCAAGGGAGTGTCTCCTTCCTAGAGAGACAGAGGCCAACGGTGGGTCTGAGGCCAGGAAGTGGGTCCCGGAAGGGCACCACGGCTTGGGGGACTCATTTCAAATATAAAAGCAATGAAGCTTTAGGAGGCCCGGTCGCCCTTGTCTACTCACTCTGTCCTTGGCATTGAGGTCCGCCTCACAGGCAATGAGATGCTCTGCACACTCGTAGTGGCCGGTCCTCACCGCCACATGCAGCGCTGTGCTGAGCAACTGGAAAATCAGAGAACGCTGCTGACTTGCTGGGAGTGGGGTAGAGGCTGCCCCGGACAGCAAGGCACGTGCAAGGGAGAGAAGTGGCCACCAGGGGGGCTTCCAGATGGCTTCCACGGAGAGGTGGGGTTAGGAGGTGGAGGGGGATGAGGGAGGGGAGGAGGCGGAGGCATAGAGGAAGAGGAGTCAGGAAGGAGGGGGATGGGGAGGAGGAAGGGAGATGGAAAAGAGGGAAGAGGAGGAGGAATGGGAGAGGAAGAAGCATGGGAGAGGAAGAGGGGAGGTGGAGAAGGGAGGGGAGGTGGAGAAGGAAGAGGAGGAGGAGGAGGAAGAGGAAGAAGAGGAGGAAGAGGGGCATGGGGAGGAGGAAGGGGTGGAGAAGAAGGAAGAAGAGGAGGAAGAGGAGGAGGAGGGGAGAGGAAGAAACATGGGAAAGAAGGAGGGGAGGTAGAGAAGGAAGAGGAGGAAGAGGGCATAGAGAGGAGAAAGGGGTAGAGGAGGAGGAAGGGTGGGAAGGAGGAGGGAGAGGGGGAGGCAGAGAAGAAGGAAGGGGTGGAAGAGGAGGGGGG